TGTGAGATTGGGTTATGATGTAACAGAAGGTGAAGATATCATAACTGCAGTGAAAGGTATTTGTGGTACATCAGTGGTTAATATTGAACCAAATAGAAGTTTTGAGAAGAAAAAAAAACCAACATTACCTGGAATATCAAATTGGTATGAATTTTGGTGGCCAGTTGAAGGTGAATATGCAGGATATCTTTGTGCTTGCTCTTTACCAAATTTGGAAAATGGAAAAACTTTTCACCAGCTATTATTAAAAAAACAATGGATGATAAAATACAAGAAAAACCTACTCCAACATTATCTGATCACACCATTCCAAATTCTAAATGGATAATTCCAATGCCAAGCAGTAATAGTAAGTAGTAATCTGAATATAAGAACAGATAATTGATATTTTTGCTAACAACATATAAATGGATCACAGCTTCAAATCTTAGTCAGTGGTCTATTGATAAAATTAAAAAAGAAATGACAAAATACAGTATAGAAGTTGATAATGATAATAGTCATGTTGAGTTAATAGCTCTTTTGCAGGAAGCAATTGATAATGAAACAAAAAAAAAATTATAGGTATGAAATTTACATATCAGGCAGAATATGTGTTTGTAGTATGCCAATAATTATTATACCTTTATTTGTAGAGGCAAAATTATCAATCCCACAAGAGAATGAGCCTATAAATGATTTCAGCAAGGAGAAGAGTATAAAAAAACGTAAAAAAATATTAGATCATAATGATGTAGAAAAAAATGATGATGTGATCCAGTAAGCATTTTTAAAAAATAGGAATAATTTTTCAACCTCACCTTCAAAACTCACTAACAATAAGCTTTATTGGTTTTCCTGTAGAGTTGATTATTTTGTGATAGGATGGGCATTGAAAGAAAACCAAGTGTATGGTAAAAAGGGAAATAAAAAACAAATTGGTGACAAAGTCAAAGAATATTTACAAATATATTTTCTTTCTGGAAATATGGATAAAAGTCAACGATTTTCTGCAAAAGATATGTTGCAAGGATTGGAAGAGCAAGTAGAATCTGGTGAACTTACTTCTGAAGAGTTGCCAACAATCAGAACAATTGAAGGATGGATAAGTCGTTTTGCTGCTTCTCATAAAAAATCAATGGCACAGAAACTTTTAGAAGAGTGTCAAAATAAAAATAAATGAATATTTTAAAAATTTCATATACTTGCTTACTATAGTTGTGTCCTGAAATGAAATATAAAAGCAAGTTTTGAAGTTATTTTCTACATTATCAATGCTAAAGTGTTTTGGAATTTATTATTTTGAAACACATTCTTTATTTTTAATAAATTTGTATATTTAAATATGTGAATTTTATACCCACAATCCAGGACCACTCACTAAATAATGGAATAGTGACAAATTTAACAACTCATATTTTCATAAGTAAATATAATATTTCACATTTGTTTAACATAGTTTGATATAAATGATAATATATGTAACATAATAAACGCATGACTTTTTATGGGGTGAAAAAATCAATTAAATTGATTTTAATATAAAATTTAAAAAATTTGCCCGGATCAGCACTAATTAAATCCTTTCCTTAACTGGTGGAACACAAATTAAGTAATTTACCCAAAACGGAACTGACCTAAAAATATTCAAAATATTTATATTTAATTTTACTCATTTTCTAGCATAACCATTTTTTTCATTACCCTACAAAAGTCTTGACCTTTTAAACCATCTATATTAATTTACCCAAAATTTTCTCTGACATTTTGATTTTTTTACATATGGGGCATGGACAGCAAAAAAAGCCAAATTTTGGTTCCTGGTAATTTTTGGGATAATAATTCAATAATATATAAATTGAGGCGAACAATCTTTTTGGCTTAGAAGTATACCCACACTTGCATAATAAAATCATAACATATTCAAGAAAATTGTTTTATATGACATATTAAATCTTAGGAAGATCTGCAATTTTGTACCCCTTTTTCTCAAAAACATGTTTTATAAAAATTTGGCCTTTTTTGCAGTCCACGCCCCATATGTATAACGTAAGTTTGATTAGAATTCACTGCAATAAGATCCGCCGTGGCAAGGTTTGATTGTATAAATAAATGAGCAAGCAATCGATTCATTAAATGTATATTTTCATTTAGTAATAACAA